CTTTCCAGCAGTGACTGTATGATTTTGAGATCCATCTTTTCAAACTGAGGACAATTGAGGGACTCATACATAACAATTACAAAAGGTCAAAACATTTACTGATGCTCCAGAAGGAAACATGATGCATTAAGAGCCGGGTGGTGTAAACTTTTGAACAGGATGATGATGTGTACATTTTTCTTATTTTGATAAAAGATCATTTTTTTTTTTTTAATTTAGTACTGCACTTCAGAAGCTACATAAATACATGTTTCCCAGAAGACAAGCCCCCCGGCTCTTAATGCATCATGTTTCCTTCTGGAGCATCAGTAAATGTTTTGACCTTTTGTAATTGTTATGTATGAGTCCCTCAATTGTCCTCAGTTTGAAAAGATGGATCTCAAAATCATACAGTCACTGCTGGAAAGCGGTCAAATATGCAGAAGATGCTGGAAAACCAAAGATTGTGCAGGAGCTGGAGGATTTTTCTGAAGAACAGCAGGCAGTTGAACTGCTCAGGACCAACGAGGGACTCATGAACAACTATCAAAAAACATAAAAACAGTCATGGATCATCCAGGAAATGACACACGGTATTAAGATTTAAACGTATGTAAACGTTTGAACGGGGTCATTTTTATAAATTCAGTTATTATTTTGTCTTGTGGAGTATATATAAACATCTGTTATGTGAAATAGCTTATTCAAGACAGTACTAAAAAAAATGAACACGCGATTTTCATGATCCCTCTTTTTTTGTGAAAATTATTAACATTTTGCATATATTTGCAAGGGGTATGAGCACAACTGTATATATAACACTAAAATATACAGGATTACAATATAGACTATTTATTGAATTATGTCTTATTTTGTTGCTTGATTCAACAAAAGTTGCCTCAGTTAATGTTGGTCTTTAATTGCTCTTTACGTCATTGCACCTTAGAGACATTAGATAGTCTGTTTTGTTCCTATCAATAATGACAAAGAGTGGTCAGGATCACTCAGGCTTTCAATGGACTAAATATTATTCATATTAACTGTTAAATGTATATCAAAGCGATATGTTTTCTCTCTCCACAGAAATCCCAAGTTGTGCAGCTGAATATTGGAGGTCATGTCGTCAGCACCACCCTGGGAACCATCCGTAAATTCCCAAACTCCACACTGGCAGACCTGTTTAACAGATCAACCAAACAGATGGACTCTGAGGGCCGTCACTTCGTAGACCGTGATGGGACTTATTTCGGGTGCATCCTCGAGTACCTCAGAACGGAGAGACTTCCTACTGAACACCTGCAGGAGGTGCATAAGGAGGCGCTTTACTACGACATCAAACCTCTGGTCAAAGCCATCGAGGAGACGCCACAGTTCTTCGGAGAGACGGTCGGGAGACAGCAGTTTTTGGCCCGTGTGCCGAATTACCGAGAAAACCTGGAGGTGATTGTGCGGGTGGCCAGAGCCGAGGCCATCGCCTCACGCTACTCCAACATAATCGTGTGTGTTGTGAGGACAGAAGAGGATTTAGCCAGATACAACAATGCTATCGACAGTCTCGGCACCCCGAGAGAGTCCGTGGTGAGCTTTGGTCCGTGGAAAGCTCCTGCATCAGTGGAAGATCTGTTAGATTGCGTCAAAATGGACATAGAAGCCAAAGGATATAAAGTAAAGATCCAACCACACAGCATAGACAAAGCGTTTCTCTTCAAGAGCTACGACTTCTTCTATAAATTGATCTTCACTTGGTGGTGAAGAATTTCTGGCCCAAGTTCATGACCTAGAAATAGGGATTTAAAAAGTGATGGAATGTTTTATATATTATATAATCAGCTTATCAAACAAATTCGACATGAACAGCTTCTGTTCCTTTAGCAGACCCACCTATATGACAGCTGTCAATCATGTATAATGGTGTTCTTATCTGTCAGTATCTGTTAAACCCTTGTTTAATATCGTCTCTCGTTGTACAGTCCTGGCCGTTGGCTTAAAGTAGCTTCTGCACAGATGAGTCTGAAAGTTTTAAAATAATATTCTGGTTCAAGTTAAGTTTTATCAGCAGAATTTGTGGCACGTTTTGGATTACAACAGAATGTTAATACAGCAGAAATTCACTTAAAATGATGTGGGTAGTTTTGTTGATCACAGATGCTGCAGACATTAATTTGCATTTAATTTAATCGCCAACACTTGAAATTAGCAAGGAATGTTTTTGGCTTGTTTATTTGTCCATATCTGAGAATTGCACCATTTTATGCATGCAACTTTTAACATTTATGCATTTGGCTGATGCTTTTATCCAAAGTGACTTGCATTGTATTCAAGGTATGCATTTGATCATGTATTCCTAATGCATTATATAAGAATGTAAAAACAGGTCCACTTCATATAGCAACATTTTTATCTCCTTATTTTTTGTGTAAATGTGTAAATAATATGTCTGTTTTGTACATGTGTTTATTTGTCCTGCAAAGTCACTTAGGATGAACCTTTTCCTTGTGCAGATCATTAAAGGTGCAACATATTATTAAGAAAAAGTGATGTGCTATTTCCAGCAGAATTACTGTTGCGGGATCTTATTACTTCATATGTTTATAGAAAGCAGGATATGAAAAAAATAACCTAACTTGATTACGTGTTACATTGTCTAACATTTACTGATTGCTTTATGTGTTGCTTCTAGTCTGTTATTCTAGTCCACATTGTGATTATAGCATCTTATATTTGATGGTATATGTTATAATTCTTTAAAAAAAGATATTGAAATCTTTAATCAGTGTGCAGAGTTTCAGGGGGAAAAAACTGAAACGAGTGAAAGGTCAAGCTTAGAAAAAAAAATATATCAAGAATATTTGTATCTGTCCTATTGTTGTCTCGTTAAAAATCAGAATAGGTTGTTTATAATATTATGACATTAAAAAAAATATTATGTATAATGCATTGAATTTTTTTTTACTAAAAGGAAAGCCCCTATGGAAAGCCCTCAATCCCAGGACTGTCCTCGTGTGATTTCTGAAGACTTCCGTCCATGAGGTGTCGCTGTTCCGCAGCAAACTTCTGACGCCGCCGAACAGCGCATGCGCGAAGAAGCGCAGGAGCGTGATAAACACAGCAATGGCAGCTCATCTGAAGAAACGAGTTTATGAGGAATTCTCTAAAGTTTCTCAGGTGAGCATAGAAAACAGCACATATACTGGTTATAAAATGTCATGTTATTGTGCTGGTCATAGAATATAATTGTAATATTATAATGAAAATATTAGAATAAATGTAAAGCAGATGTAGCCTTTAGCATTAGTGTGATTATTACTGTAACCGTTATTATGTGTGTTAACTATTTTTCTAATGACAAACAGGTATTTATTAATTTGTACATTTATGTTATTTGGCTGTTATTTGCTTTATTTTAAGTATTTTTAGTCAGAGGAAAGTTGAAATGCACATGTGTGCTTTTCTTTTTCTTTTCGCTTTTTATCGTAGTTTTACTTTTTTCTCTTTTACCTGTGAAGCCTGCAACCATAACATCTCATTGCCAGCACTTGCTGTTAGTGTATTGATCTGCTTTTGATAAGTAAACTCTCAGATTGTGTGATAATGAAAATAACTGAATGAATGTTTAACTCGTGGGTTGTGAGTGAGACGTACATCACAAAATATCAGAACTAACACAGTAAGTGAATTCAGGCTTTTCTCAGTGTTTACACTGCTGTTCAAAAGTTTGGGATCAGTAAGATTTGTAATGTTTGTGAAAGAAGTCTCTTCTGTTCTTCATGGCTGCATTTAGGCCTATTTGATCAAATATACAGAAAAACAGTAATGTAAAATATTATTACCATTTAAAATAATGGTTTTCTATTTTAATATACTTTAAAATAGAATTTATTTCTGTGAATTTTGTGTGAGTCTTCAGTGTCACATGATCCTTCAGAAATCATTCTAATATCCTGATTTATTATCAGTGTTGTGCTGCTTAATATATATTTTTTTGGAACCTGTGTTACTTTTTCAGCGTTTATTTAAAATAGAAACCTTTGTAACAATATAAGTCTTTATTATCACTTTTTTATCAATTTATCACATCATTGCTGAATAAAAGCATTCATTAATTACTGACAACTCTTGGAACGGTAGTGTATATTGTTACAAAAGATTTATATTTGAAATAAACGCTGTTCTTTTTAACTTTATTCATCAAAGAATCCTGAAAAAAGTATCACAGGTTCCAAAAAAATATTAAGCAGCACAACTGTTTCCAATATTGATATTGAATCAGCATATTAGAATGATTTTTGAAGATCATGTGACACTGAAGACTGGAGTAATGATGCTGAAAATTCATCTTTGAATCACAGGAATATTTTAAAAGCATTTTATTAACATTTTAAAGTACATTAAAAAAGAAAACGGTTATTTTAAATTGCAGTAATATTTCACAATGTTACTGTTTTTTTTTTCTGTGTTTCTGATCAAATAAATGCAGCCTTGATGAGCAGAAGAGACTTCATTAAAAAAAAAAACATGATCCCAAACTTTTGAACAGCAGTGTATGTCAGGGCCTATTGATTGTTTTTTTTTTGTTTTTTTTGCAGCAGGTGTCTCTTGAGGAGGTTCCTGCGGCTGCGAAAAAGCTTCGATTGACCAAACCCAGTAAATCAGCCGCTCTTCACATAGACCTGTGTAAAGCCACCAGCCCCACAGACGCTCTGCAGTACCTGCTGCATTTCGCACGGAAACCTGTGGAGGCTGAGAGCGTGGAGGGGGTCGTGCGCATACTGCTCGAGCATTATTACAAGGTATCAACAGAACATGAAGCATGTCACTTGATACACGTCACCTAATATTTATATTAAATATTTAGCACATAAACATTTTAAAATGAGACACATGCAAATTCCAGTTTATATGTGTATGATGAAAGTAAGATTATGTATTGCTTTTTTAATAACGGTGTCCTGTGTGTTTGTGGTGATGTGGTCTACAGGAGTCGGATAACTCTGTCAGGCTGAAGATCGCCTCATTGTTGGGTTTATTATCAAAAACCCAGGGCTTCGCTCCAGACTGCATAGTAGATGATGCTATAAACACTCTCAACAATGAAAGTAAGTCTTTGATTTAAAATGATAATGTTCTGCTAAAGAGTAATGTGACACTTAAAGGGGTCATAAACTGACTTTTTTTATTAGTTTGTACTGTTCTCTGAGGTCCACTTATAATGTTATCAAGATTTTTACATCAAAAAACATAATTCAGAAGGAATAGGCTATTTTCTGTCCTGTTTTGACCCCCCTCATCAGAACGCTCTGTTTGAATAGGCGACGCGGATTGTCGACTCAGAAGTAAACGCCCACCGCTATGATTGGCTAATAGTTGTGTTCATAGATGGACGCTGTGATTTAAGTTAAAAACGCATAAATACTCCGTTCATATCAAACGATCTGTAATAACAGACAAAGCAATAGTGACCATGTAATAAAAACAGTTACTCACACTTGTGTGGTGCGACATTACTGTCGGATCCAGTATATTTCCGCACAGCATCTTCTTTTAGTTTCAGTCTTTCTGAAAATCCTGCGTTGAATTGTGCCTTGTTTGTAAACGAATCCGCGGTGAAATGAAGTGAACAAAGGACCAAGTTCTTACTGATGCAATCTGGATCTTCATTAAAAATAAAGTTCATCCACTCTTTCGCGAAAAAGCTTCGATTGACCAAACCCAGTAAATCAGCCGCTCTTCACATAGACCTGTGTAAAGCCACCAGCCCCACAGACGCTCTGCAGTACCTGCTGCATTTCGCACGTAAACCTGTGGAGGCTGAGAGTGTGGAGGGGGTCGTGCGCATACTGCTCGAGCATTATTACAAGGTATCAACAGAACATGAAGCATGTCACTTGATACACGTCACCTAATATTTATATTAAATATTTAGCACATAAACATTTTAAAATGAGACACATGCAAATTCCAGTTTATATGTGTATGATGAAAGTAAGATTATGTATTGCTTTTTTAATAACGGTGTCCTGTGTGTTTGTGGTGATGTGGTCTACAGGAGTCGGATAACTCTGTCAGGCTGAAGATCGCCTCATTGTTGGGTTTATTATCAAAAACCCAGGGCTTCGCTCCAGACTGCATAGTAGATGATGCTATAAACACTCTCAACAATGAAAGTAAGTCTTTGATTTAAAATGATAATGTTCTGCTAAAGAGTAATGTGACACTTAAAGGGGTCATAAACTGACTTTTTTTATTAGTTTGTACTGTTCTCTGAGGTCCACTTATAATGTTATCAAGATTTTTACATCAAAAAACATAATTCAGAAGGAATAGGCTATTTTCTGTCCTGTTTTGACCCCCCTCATCAGAACGCTCTGTTTGAATAGGCGACGCGGATTGTCGACTCAGAAGTAAACGCCCACCGCTATGATTGGCTAATAGTTGTGTTCATAGATGGACGCTGTGATTTAAGTTAAAAACGCATAAATACTCCGTTCATATCAAACGATCTGTAATAACAGACAAAGCAATAGTGACCATGTAATAAAAACAGTTACTCACACTTGTGTGGTGCGACATTACTGTCGGATCCAGTATATTTCCGCACAGCATCTTCTTTTAGTTTCAGTCTTTCTGAAAATCCTGCGTTGAATTGTGCCTTGTTTGTAAACGAATCCGCGGTGAAATGAAGTGAACAAAGGACCAAGTTCTTACTGATGCAATCTGGATCTTCATTAAAAATAAAGTTCATCATCATAAAGTGGCTCATTG